GTTTTAGTTACAGCCGCGACTCTTGACTGCAACACTCTCGGACGACGGCTTCACTCAGCAGTTTCGCCAATGACTACGTTGCTCACACGCACACGCGATTGTCGACGCAACACACATAACGTGCACACTGCCATTAGATCAGACTCCTGGTAATGCTTAAACAAGCAATAATTCTAAAAGATGTTTCTCTAGCGGCAAATACCTCATCCCTCGAAAAATCCGAACGCATCGAATTTCGTAACGCTTTTTATCTAAGCTTTACTAGTGTTAACTACTAGGAGTACAATAACAGTGGGAACGTCACCTTCCGCTCGCTATGCGAGACGTTTTATGTGGGTCGAATCCAATACTCAACCCCCGGCGTTTTCCATATACAAGTTTTTAATAGCTTGTTGTAGCTTTTAGGATAGCACACCTGCACCATTATATTACCAACACAGTGTTCTCAGCCGCTTTTCTTATTTTGACCTAATTGACGTATTTATGTGAACAATTAAACCAGAGCTTAGCGTACGCATATCGTTTACAACTAGTGCATCACTGATAGAATGAACTCCGATTCCCTGAGAACTAAAGGCATGACTAGTGGGGAAAAATCTGTTCCAGCTCGAAAGCAATGAATATAGTCATAACGAAATCAAACGACATTGCAAAACATGTCGGTATAAAAACAGATTTTTAATCCAGCAAGATATAGACCGAGGCAAAGCTAAGAAAGGGAAGATAAAGTATGTCAGTGCTGTCATTTCATGTGAACAGAGTAACTGATTTTGATCTTTTATCTCACTTTCAAAAAAGGAAACTTTACAACTGACGAGTGCCTCGCATAATTGTTTACCAACTCGACTGGACTTTATTCGAGCAGTGTCGACTTGGAGTAATGCAGATGAATTGGATAGGAGGATCAGTTAGTAGTAGCAATTGAAGCCAATTATTTGGAACTCAGTTGCTGAAAAGGCAGATTCGCTGTTATACGAATCCTAGGAGGTGTCGCGCCCATCCAAATCTTTTCGACAAATAGGACAACTGCCTTTCTACAAGAAGGAATAAAATCCTTGCGTAGAACGATTAACGAGAAGTACGCGTCATCAACAATCTTAAAGCAACAAAAGCCGAATTTTCGGATGGGTTGTGAATACATTCTAACTCAGATGACAATGCAATCAGAGGGTTGCTGCAGAGACCAGAATCACAAATAGTCCTAATTCCGAAAATAATAATGCAAACCTAGACGGTTACGTAATGTGTAATAGTAAAACACCAGAATATTAGAAGATCGATTGTGGGTTGGCAAGAGACTCAATATGCGACAACGTCAAAAGCAATACAAAAATGGCGTTTTCAAAAAGCAATCTTAAAAGCCACTGTTTCACAGTTCACTCTCGGGGGGAAATACTTGCAGCAGGTTAACATCGATCGCACCCGAGTGAACCCTGTTTACTGACCTGACTGTGACAAGGGTTCATCCCCTTTGCACTGGTTACTGTTATCTGACGCCTTTTATCCGTTCACTCATCCACACACTAAGACACACACTTGGCTGGCGTGACGCCAATACACGGTCGTGTCTCCTGTCGCCTCTTGTTTCGCTCTTTTCGGGTTGTTACGGGCTGTTAACTAGAGGGTTATAAGGCAGTGCTAGACTCAAGCTACCACAGTTTTCGTATAATCAGGAAAAAGGCGAGTATATAAGATAAGCTAAACATGCTTGCTGAAAGACCCGATTATTTCGTATTCGAAGCATGTGCAGTCAGTAAAACCAAGAAACACAAACGTAGAAAGTGCATGTTATGATTATTTAATCTTTCTTTATCGGTAACCTAAAGCGTCTAATTAAAACTAAAACCGTACCATACACTAAAGTATCTATCAAAATAGGACATAAAATACTATGTCGTCAACGTATAAGTTATGATAATGATCGATACCATGAACCTGAAGTAGTTGATAATTCAATGAGGCTTCATTTCTTGATTATCGGTAAGTGGCAACCAAGGTTGTCAACAATAGAAGAATCGGGGTGTAATAAGTAACCTGAAATTACTGTTAGTTCTGTTAAGAATAACGACTACAAGGCCAGCCAATAGGAACTTGCAAAGAATTTTTAATTAATCAGACCGATTAAACAGAGGAGATAGCAATAGTATACACTTGGCTTCCTTTCAACAAAACAGAAGCATACAGTTGTGAATGATGACTGTATCATGAACATTTGCCCAAGTTTGGAGAAGCAACAAGATATACGTTGAAGTTGCAGGAGTTATTTGTCGAAAATAATTTTAATACAATTACTACCGGGTAAAACGCAAACAAATCTATGTGGATTGAATCGTTTAGAAAATGCCTACCAAAAGAAAAGAATGACGTTTTAAGTGTTGGGATAATTAAATTTCAGAAATGAATTGGTAGACGCCATAAAGTTTTTTATTCATACAATCATTTAAAATAAGAAGTGATACAAAAAAACGTTACTTAATGGGAGTTCGCATTGTACGAGAAAACAAAAGTCTACTGAAGCCAATTTCAATTAAAACTAACTTGAAATATGCAAATAATTAACATAACACATCCAAGATATAAATAATGTAATTGAGGTAACTTACCTGGTGTAACCAGGTAGCTAAGCAGGGCGAGTGGAAGGTATGTGCGCATGGCAATGTATTGATTTCCTCGTTCACCTTGTATTTCTCCAGGCATATAGAGCACACATCGTAATTTACGAGGTCAGATTGAGAAAGGGTAGCTCTAGGTAGTCTAGCGATATCCGATGCGCTCGCGGGAGGAGGGCCACTAAGACCTATAAATTATAACAGGGACGTATCCTTTGCATTCATAATTAGTTTCCCAAACTAAAGAACACCATATAACATGTTTTAGCACTCCAAGAGGAGAACTTATGAATGGAGATATTTTCTGGAATACGAAAAATGAGAGACTAAAATATGACCTACAACAGATATTTTGTTCTTAGTATAGATAACAATAGCAGTTAGATCTCGAATATTCACAAAGAGGGGGAGGAATTGTGTTTATGAAAAAATCTTACCATTTAGCTCTGCGTTCATCAACATTTGTAAAAAAAATTCCACTCCATTTATTAGAGCAATTGGTCGTTGATGCGTTCGCGACCTGGTATTCGCAGAAACGCGATCATCTTGAATGGTTTCATCAAATATCACGAAATTTTGATTGCCGGAACCCGTCGCCATATCGTTTATGGCTGCATGCATTAAAGCCACCACATTAGAAATCTGACCACTAGCACTGCCGTCAGAACTTAACAGTTTTTATTGCAATAAATAGACCCTACTCGGAAAAATCTGATTCACCAGATCCAACCTCTTCGACAAAGCCTTGATTGCAATTACCGCAGGTTAGGGTGGAATCGCGAAATGTAGGAACTGTCGTCCTCTGACATAGGTGGCAATAATACCGTCTATTACCAGCATCGGCAGATGCCATCTGTCACGAAGAAAATGACGGCCGCGCTAACACAACTGAGAGAAACAGTCCAGTTGGTTACGCATCCAGACCAATACGATTCGAATTTCGAATCGACCAATAAACACAGGAAAAATTTAGGTCATTTAAAATTGTGTCTAGAGTTTAAAATGGAATGTAAAGAAACGAATATAAATCAAGCAATACACAGCTATTCTAGTTGGTTATTTACTAGATGGGTTCAGAAAACCTAGGAAAACTGTCAATTTTAGTTGTAATATATAAGACTTATTTATTCAGTAAAAGATAAGTACTTTACTGATGTAGCGATTAAAAATACCACTTAGAAAGCAGCAGCCAAATGGACAAAGCAGCTTTACTCGGCCATCTTAAGAGTTCCGAAGTTCCATTCCATTAAAAAAAATGAAAAATTCTATCACTAATAAACTTTTTGCTTACCTCAATTAGTCATAATTGTTGTAGAAGTGCTAGTAGTGATGATGGTTAAGGAAGCAAAAGTGATGGCGAATACGTGCATACAATGGGAATTAAAATTTAAATATTTGATGCGAACGCAAATTGGGATCCTATTACATATTATAAAATAAAAATAAAAAGCATAAATTCATCGATTAAAATAAGTGGATGTGTACATATTCCGATCGATTATGAGTGCTTTGCAAATCCTTTTAATAGTGAGACGAACTAGTGGCAGCAAGACTGAAGGGAATAAATCATTTATTGCTTAGAAACGTGAATAACCTTGTGACGAATAAAAGAAGATATCAGATACAACTACATTTTTTAGAAAAAAAACTTAAGATTCTCAGAATTTTTTGTAAATGCTTTTTCAGATATCGACAAGTATTGTTATTCAGACTTTATGTAGAGTTATTGATATCAGTTAAACCTTGCAAAAAAGGGCTTCTATCACCTCTAAAGTAAAAGAAACATCGCAAATTTGAATCACGTACAGACACTTTTTTAATATAATTATATGATAACTGTGAGTTAAGGAACCTTCCCCTTTGTACATACTTGTTCTTGCGCAAATATGACTCTGGAAGGTAATAGTGAATATAAGAAATCTCTGTTGCTTTTGTCTATTGATATATTTTATAATTTAATAAAACATTTTGTATTACGCAAATTAAGAAAAAAATGTAGGCTAATTATTTGCGAAGTGTTTTAATCCTCCATTTAAGGAACACTGCAAATTCGCGCATTTCTGAAGTTCCAGAGTAGCGGATACCGGTCGTAAGTTCCTTGCGAAATGGCTGTTTCTGCATGTTAATAGTTTTTAAACGTTGTATAGTAAGATATTGTTTTGAAATTTTTGTTGACCTCTATTTCAAATTTTACTGGATAAAATGAATGTTTTCCAAATATCCAAAATATATTTTAACTAGATAATCTCTTAGTTAAAATGAACCATAATAATGACATGTAATCAGTTGGTAAAAATGTGCTTTTAATTTATCAATTAACACTTCTACATGCGAAATATTTATTGCAATTTCTAGTACATTTCCTTTTTTGCTTGGCTATTTTTTTACATTTTTTGGTCAATGATGCAATTGGCAATACTTTATGATTATTTTTAACCACTACGAGTTTTAATTATTTTGTACCTTGTGCAATATTGACGGGACTTTGAAACCACTGGCATGCACTTGTCTATCAACTTGCTCCAATTTGATTTTGTTAGAATCTGTCTTGAAGTGTTTGTCTGTTATCAAGTCATTGTCTGTGCGACGACGTGGTAATTAATTTGCAGTATTTTATTTACCAAATGTCTTTGTCCAATGAAATTATGTCTTGCACTTAATTTGGTTTCACCTTTTGTCATCTTTTTATTCTTTTCTTTTTGGGTTTTATGGTTAAATGCACCACCGTTACGCGTTTCGTAAAACAAATTTTAATAGACGTAGGCTATTTGTGTTCTAGCCATGTTTATGTTGCTGTAACTTAGCAAAGAATGTTTCAATAGTGCTAGCGATTTGCTTCATGGTATCATGAACTGAACTGACGTTTTAAATCCACCAGAATTTTTTTTGGGAAACTTAATATAAGTTGAAATCAAGCATTTAGTCAGAAATGTAGCGATTAATTGGTCACCTAATATTTATAATGATAGGTATTTTGTGTTCCTAAGTAACTTTAAATCATTGTCCGAACAGAAATAATTTTTGGTTTATTTTTAATTCGCAAAAAATAATAAATGGTCAACGTAATTATTTATGTCTTTCTCAAGCCACAAATTCTCAACAGGATGGATGATGAATCATGGCAACTGGTAAGGCTTATCGTACTTTTATCTAAATTTTGGTATGATATTCATTTTGTGAATCTTATTTTTGAATGTAAAGATTTATGGCACGATGTTGTAACTTGCTTCTGTTTATAAACTACCCTTAAATTACATGATAATAAATGCAGTCAAACTGTCAATCAACGTGATAACCTTTCTGTTTTAAAGAAGATATATTACCCTAATTAATTGTTTATTGTTTCTTGTACCGACCAGTTTAAGAACATGGCGTTTAAAAACCAGCTATAGTACATAGCAAGATTATTTGAATTTTCGTACACAGAATGATTGCTGCCCTACTTAGATTGTATTTCCCTCAATTAGAGTATTTTCAAGGTTCCAACCATGTCACTTTGCAACCACTGCATAGATATTTTATATAAGCTCTTGGACTTATTACTTTCATATTTTAATTTTTCCACGGTTGTAGTGATTGTAGACCCACTGACTACAGTAAGTTTAGCGCATTGTAAATTAAAATATAATAACTAAGTTTCTTCTTGGAAATCAAAGAAATTTAACTCGCTAACACCAAATTAAAGATCAGAGTGAATGCTTGTACAAATTAAAATACCTGACAACAAAATGGCTGAAATATTGATTTCTCATTCGTTGGCCAAAACTTTGGGTTTACAGACAGTCTACTACATGTAAGCCCTCACTGCATTAAAATATTATAGCCTTCTGGTTTAAGTTTACATTACCAAACCTGTTCTTTACAACCAATTTAAAATTATGATCTTTGCGGTTATACCGTTTTGAACAATTTTGGCCGAAATAAATATGATTGTAATTCCATGTTGTTTTTACAGTTTATACAGTATATTTCAGTGTTGGCCCATGGCTCAATCTCTTAGATGAAGCACGGTGTAAGCATTTGAAGTCACGATTTTGAAATGTATGTGATGAACGTGCTTTTGTCTTCGCTAGCTGGTACCCGCTTTTTAGTCAGACACGGCATTGGTGTGGTTGGACAAAGTGTTTAAATTTTTCATTCTTCCTGCTGTTGTTACTATTGTAATAGTACTTCGTCCGTTTTAAATATTATAGTTAGGAGTAAACTTCATGTCTGATAGTGTTTTGTGTTGATCAATAGTTTCGAAGCTGGGGCTATGATTTGAAAGCTTGCATTTATGTTGTGTCAGGGATGAAAAAGGTCCTCTGTGTGGTTTCGAGAATTCATCATTTAACGTTCAAATTATTACTAAAGTTTGCTACCTACTTTGAATGATGACAGAAACATGTGTTGTTGATTGTGCTGCTGTTTCTTATATAAAGATATCGCTAACCCACATAACCATGAAAAATTCGAGATGGAAAATGAAAAGCTTCATTTTCTTTCTTTTATGTTATATGAGATTTAAAGGGTCGCAATTGTAACAAAATTGTTGCGGATATTTATTTGGGTCATGCCCTTGTTCATAGCACAGTCAAAAGTGTTCAGTCGATTCAAACATGGTGACTTTAATCTAAGCGATAGTTTTCGCTGTGGGTGACCTTCCGACAATGATTTATTAAATACAAAACCACCGACTATTGCTACAGAGCTTACTCAGAGTCTCTTAACTGGCAAATCAAGTGCATTTTGCCATTTAAGTCAATTAAGATGCACTCGGTAAATGGGTTCCACACGTTTTGATATGATGGAACAAGTAGAACCGTGCTTCCACAGCCATTTTCCTCCCTGTTTGGTATCAGCGAAACGGACTCCTCTTGAATAAAGTCACAGCTGCTGATTGAAGTAGCTTGAGTATGGCAAGATAATTGGGAAAATGGGGCTGAAAGCACGTTAATCAAAGGACAGAAAGTCTGAGGCTAGGACTGAATCGCATTCAATGAAGACGTGCGTGTGTGCGTGTTTGGGGGATCGCAAAGGAATAAGTTTTCGCAAGCTTCCTCCATGTGGCCAGACAATAACTGTGGAGAAGTACCGTGGATTTTTCAAATTAACTCACACTGTAATCGAAGCAGGCGTCACTCAACAGGCAGTACAAAAAAGGACCAAATTCCCCCAAACTTCACCTTCCAGGTTTTTTTATCCGTATTCGTTCTCTTTTAAATTAATAATTTAAATAGCGAAAATTAAATCGAAGAGATCAGAATTGTAGTACATATTTCTTTAAGAGAAAAAAAATATTTTCCGCAAAAAGTATTCAAGGTTTTTAAAATTTCAGAAGAGAGTTATAAGAAATTATGAGTAGAGCATAAATACCCAAATTTAATATATTCTGTTTATTATGTACACTTTCTGCATTTAATTTGGCTTCAAATCGTGGGCGAGCTTTTGTATTCACCCAGTAGAATGAATGCCCGTTTAGT